ATACAAACACTATACCTAGACAGTACAGGTATACAAACACTATACCTAGACAGTACAGGTATACAAACACTATACCTAGACAGTACAGGTATACAAACAATGGTAATTAATAAGACAATATAACAATGCTGAGACAACAATAACACCTGGTAAATATTAAGGAAATATTAACACAGAATTAACCTATATAGCTCTTATGAGTTAAGGATGTTAATGTTAAGTTAAATAGTGGTTAGCTGTTAAATAGTGGTTAGTTGCTAAATAGGGGTTAGTTGTTAAATAGGGGTTAGTTGTTAAATAGGGGTTAGTTGTTAAATAGGGTTAGTTGTTAAATAGGGGTTAGCTGTTAAATAGTGGTTAGCTGTTAAATAGGGGTTAGTTGTTAAATAGGGGTTAGTTGTTAAATAGGGGTTAGCTGTTAAATAGTGGTTAGCTGTTAAATAGGGGTTAGTTGTTAAATAGGGGTTTGTTGTTAAATAGGGGTTAGTTGTTAAATAAGGGTTAGTTGTTAAATAGTGGTTAGCTGTTAAATAGGGGTTAGTTGTTAAATAGGGGTTAGTTGTTAAATAGGGGTTAGTTGTTAAATAGGGGTTAGTTGTTAAATAGGGGTTAGTTGTTAAATAGTGGTTAGTTGTTAAATAGGGGTTAGTTGTTAAATAGGGGTTAGTTGTTAAATAGGGGTTAGTTGTTAAATAGTGGTTAGTTGTTAAATAGTGGTTAGTTAAATAGGGGTTAGTTGTTAAATAGGGGTTAGTTGTTAAATAGGGGTCGTTAACCGTCGAACTATCACTATTGTCACGAAGGGTCAAATTTGTCTTACTCTTGTGTTAATTTTGATGGTTTGTGTTGAGTGATTCACTGGCGGAGTAGAGCAGCGTGGTAGAGTCATTTACTCACTAGTTTCACCAATAAGGTATTGTGGCTAAGGATTGGAACGTGCTGTACAAGTTATGAGTCTGGGTGTGATGGTGTGGGTGTGTGATGGTGACAGTGTGTGGTGCTGTGGGTGTGTGTGGTGGTGTGATGGTGTGTGATGATGTGGGTGTGTGATGGTGACAGTGTGTGGTGGTGTGGGTGTGTGATGGTGACAGTGTGTGATGGTGATGTGTGGTGGTGTAGGTGTGTGATGGTGAGAGTGTGTGGTGGTGTGATGGTGTGTGTGGTGTGATGGTGTGTGTGATGATGTGGAATGTGATGGTGACAGTGTGTGTGGTGGTGTGGTGGTGTAGGTGTGTGATGGTGACAGTGTGTGATGGTGTGAGTGTGATAGTGTTGTACTGTAATCTTATCCTATAAGTCATGGGAAGATAAACTATTAATTTTTGCATTGTTTTTGCTGAACGAGTAAGTCTACAGGAGTCTCATATGTTGTTTCTGTAAATATTTAGGAGAGAATCGGCGATATAACAACAACAACAACAAAAACAACAATAATAATAATAATAACAACAATAATAATAATAATAATAATAATAATAATAATAATAATAACAATAATAATAATAATAACAATAATAATAATAACAATAATAATAATAATAATAATAATTATAATAATAATAATAATGATAATAATGATAAAAATAATGATAATAATAAAATAATAATGATAATAATAATAATAATAAAATAATGATAATAATAATAATAATAATAATAATAATAAATGATGATGATGATAATAATAAAATAATGATAATAATAATAATAATAGTAAAATAATGATGATAATAATAGTATGATAATGATAATAATAATAATACTAAAATGATGGTAATAATAATAATAATAATAATGTCCCCTCGGTACACCTGGTCAATGTCTCTGTCAGGTGGCGAGACACAAGCACCAGTCTTAGGCCAGGTGAGTCTCGTCTTGTGGTCGGTCACCTGGGGATATTATGCCTTTATACACACACACAGAGCTCTAAGGTGAGTCGAGAGGTGTGATGGTGTGGGTGATGGTGTGGGTGATGGTGTGTGTGTGTGTTATGGTGTGGGTGTGTGTGATGGTGTGGGTGTGTGATGGTGTGGGAGTGTGTGATGGTGTGGGAGTGTGTGATGGTGTGTGTGTGTGATGGTGTGGGTGTGTGTGATGGTGTGGGTGTGTGTGATGGTGTGGGTGTGTGTGATGGTGTGGGTGCAGGGGAGAACGAGAGAGGTGATGGTGGCTGCTCGAGTTGAAGTCACCCTACCACCACTACCACTATCCCTACCACCACTACCACTATCTCTACCACCACTACCACTATCTCTACCACCACTACCACTATCTCTACCACCACTACCGCTATCTCTACCACTACTACCACAATCTCTACCACCACTACCACTATCTCTACCACCATTACCACTATCTCTACCACCACTACCGCTATCTCTACCACCACTACCACAATCTCTACCACCACTACCACTATCCCTACCACCACTACCACAATCTCTATCTCTACCAACACTACCACTATCTCTACCACCACTACCACAATCTACCACCACTACCACTATCTCTACCACCACCTACTATTCTCTACCACCACTACCACTATCACCATCTCTACCACTACACACACTACAATCTCTACCACTACCACTATCTCTACTACTCTATCTCTACCACTACCACTCTCTACCACCACTACCACTATCTCTACCACCACCACAATCTCTACCACCACTACCACTATCTCTACCACCATTACCACTATCTCTACCACCACTACCGCTATCTCTACCACCACTACCACAATCTCTACCACCACTACCACTATCTCTACCACCACTATCTCTACCACCACTACCACTATCTCTACCACCACTACCACTATTTCTACCACGACAACAACTAAGTCATCGTACAAAAGGGTTAAATCATCATACTCAAGGGTTTAAATCACCATTCTAGAGGGGTTAAATCATCATACTCAAGGGGTTAAATCATCGTACTCGAGGGGTTAAATCATCATACTCAAGGGGTTAAATCATCATACTCAAGGGGTTAAATCATCGTACTCAAGGGGTGAAATCATCATACTCAAGGGTTAAATAATCATACTCAAGGGGTTAAATCTTCATACTCAAGGGGTTAAATCATCATGCTCAAGGGGTAAAATTATCATACTCAAGGGGCTAAATCATCATACTCAAGGGGTAAAATAATCATACTCTAGGGGTAGAATCATCATACTCAAGGGGTTAAATCATCATACTCAAGGGGTAAAACCTTCATACTCAAGGGGTTAAATCATCATACTCAAGGGGTAAAATCATCATACACAAGGGGTAGAATCATCATACTCAAGGGGTAAAATCATCATACTCAAGGGGTTAAATGATCATACTCAAGGGGTAAAAATCATCATACTCAAGGGGTAAAAATCATCATACTCATGGGGTTAAATCATCATACACAAGGGGTAGAATCATCATACTCAAGGGGTTAAATCATCACACTCAAGGGGTTAAATCATCATACTCAAGGGGTAAAATATCATACTCAAGGGGTAAAACCTTCATACTCAAGGGGTTAAATCATCATACTCAAGGGGTAAAACCTTCATACTGAAGGGGTTAAATCATCATACTCAAGGGGTAAAACCTTCATACTCAAGGGGTTAAATCATCATACTCAAGGGGTTAAATCATCATACTCAAGGGGTTAAATCTTCATACTCAAGGGGTTAAATCTTCATACTCAAGGGGTTAAATCATCATACTCAAGGGGTAAAATCATCATACTCAAGGGGTTAAATCATCATACTCAAGGGGTTAAATCATCATACTCAAGGGGTTAAATCATCATACTCAAGGGGTTAAATCATCATACTCAAGGGGTTAAATCTTCATACTCAAGGGGTTAAATCTTCATACTCCAGGGGTTAAATCATCATACTCAAGGGGTTAAATCTTCATACTCAAGGGGTTAAATCATCATACTCAAGGGGTTAAATCTTCATACTCAAGGGGTTAAATCATCATACTCAAGGGGTTAAATCTTCATACTCAAGGGGTTAAATCTTCATACTCAAGGGGTAAAATCATCATACTCAAGGGGTTAAGTCATCGTGCTCAAGGGCTTAGTGTGCATATCTTAATTAACCTGTTCAATTTCTTTCACAGGTACAGAATGTGACGTCACAGCCTGAAAATAGTGAACTGAGATGATGGTGAACAATTTATAGTGAACTGAGATTAAACTGGACCGTGATTATTGTGAACTGATAATCTCAAAAACAGACATTAAAGTGAACTCTGAACACGTGCTATAGTGCACGTAAAGTGAACGCCGTGCACAGGGCTATAGTGCACAGGGCTATAGTGCACGTAAAGTGAACGCCGTGCACAGGATTAGAGTGCTCGTAAAGTGAACACCGCGCACAGGGTTATAGTGCACGTAAAGTGAACGCCGTGCACAGGGTTATAGTGCACGTAAAGTGAACGCCGTGCACAGGGCTATAGTGCACGTAAAGTGAACGCCGTGCACAGGGTTATAGTGCACGTAAAGTGAACACCGCGCACAGGGTTATAGTGCACGTAAAGTGAACGCCGCGCACAGGGCTATAGTGCACGTAAAGTGAACGCCGCGCACAGGGCTATAGTGCACATACAGTGAACGCCACGCACAGGGCTATAGTGCACGTAAAGTGAACACCGCGCACAGGGCTATAGTGCACGTAAAGTGAACGCCGCGCACAGGGCTATAGTGCACATACAGTGAACGCCACGCACAGGGCTATAGTGCACGTAAAGTGAACTCGTGCACAGTTATAGTGCACATAAGCGTTCTATTGTTTGGCCCGATGTGAACGTACAGAGGTCTTTTCTCCGCCTCAAGTAAACGCAGTAATTTTTGGTGCTCTAAATGAACGTCAGAACGCCTTGTTAGGGTCCACAGGTTTACAGTACAGTTATTAGGAGGAAAAGTGAACGCCAACTTATATTAAATACTTACAATGGACGCTTAGTTTTTAACTTTTAGTGAACGCCTGTTTTTGAAGTTAAAGTGAACGCCTGTTTGTGAAGTTAAAGTGAACGCCTGTTTGTGAAGTTAAAGTGAACGCCTGTTTTTGAAGTTACAGTGAACGCCTGTTTTTGAAGTTACAGTGAACGCCTGTTTTTGAAGTTACAGTGAACGCCTGTTTTTAAAGTTAGTGAACGCCTGTTTTTGAAGTTTAAGTGAACGCCTGTTTTGAAGTTAGTGAACGCCTGTTTTTTACAGAAGTGTTTTTGAAGTTACAGTGAACGCCTGTTTCTGAAGTTACAGTGAACGCCTCTTTTTAAAGTTACAGTGAACGCCTGTTTTTGAAGTTACAGTGAACGCCTGTTTTTAAAGTTACAGTGAACGCCTGTTTTTAAAGTTACAGTGAACGCCTGTTTTTGAAGTTACAGTGAACGCCTGTTTTTGAAGTTACAGTGAACGCCTGTTTTTAAAGTTACAGTGAACGCCTGTTTTTGAAGTTACAGTGAACGCCTGTTTTTGAAGTTACAGTGAACGCCTGTTTTTGAAGTTACAGTGAACGCCTGTTTTTGAAGTTACAGTGAACGCCTGTTTTTGAAGTTACAGTGAACGCCTGTTTTTGAAGTTACAGTGAACGCCTGTTTTTGAAGTTACAGTGAACGCCTGTTTTTAAAGTTACTGTGAACGCCTGTTTTTGAAGTTAAAGTGAACGCCTGTTTTTGAAGTTAAAGTGAACGCCTGTTTTTGAAGTTACAGTGAACGCCTGTTTTTGAAGTTACAGTGAACGCCGCTATATTTTTATCACCCAGTGAACGTCATCTTACTTCATTATTTTTTTCCAACAGAGAAAAAACCGCAGTGAATTTGGTTGACATTTAAAACTCCGCTAAGCCAACGCTGAATAATTACAAGGTGGACATTAATTATTTCCATGAACGCTTTACTGAACTCAAGCCTAAGAAAAGACAGGAAAATATAGTGAACGCTAGAGTGTGAACGCCCCAAGATTATTTATAAAATAGGAGAGTTTTATCCAAGTTCATTTCCCCCCCCCCCAAAAAAAAGCCGCAATTAATAACTAAGGATGAGAACTTAAAACATTTGTGAACGCGAGGGATTCTGGGTAGTTATTGTGAACGCGAGGAATTGCCGAAGTGAACATATTGAACGTAACATAAGCGTGCAGGGGTTAGCTAGTTCAAACAACGTCTCGTGGACTCTTTAGAGAACTCAACGGGACGATCTAGCGGGGAAAGTGTTAGAGTGAACGTTAGGAACGGCGATCACTCCTGTTAACTGCTGTCTGTTGAATCACTGGGCGGCGTCTGTTGAAGAAGTGGGAGCCGTCTGTTGTTGAACTAGTGGGCGGCGTCTGTTGAATCACTGGGCGGCGTCTGTTGAATCACTGGGCGGCGTCTGTTGAACAAGTGGGAGCCGTCTGTTGTTGAACTAGTGGGCGGCGTCTGTTGAATCATTGGGCGGCGTCTGTTGAACCAGTGGGCGGCGTGTTCTTGAACAAGTGGGCGGCCAGGTGGTGAAGGCTACATATATGAATCGGGCGTAGAAGTTTTCATCAACTAGGGACGCCCCTCTCCCGCCCACCATCACCACCCACCGCCCACACAGAGGGTCAAATGGCAACTCCCGTTTGAAATTGTCCTCCACACGCCCTTCTCTACGACCCCACGTCCATCCACACGCCCACTCGTACGCCCATCCCCACGCCCGGACGCCCATCATCACTCCCACATCCATCCCCACGCCCGGACGCCCATCATCACACCCACATCCATCCCCACGCCCGGACGCCCATCATCACACCCACACCCATCCACACGCCCGGACACCCATCATCACGCCCACACCCATCCACACGCCCGGACACCCATCATCACTCCCACACCCATCCACACGCCCGGACGCCCATTATCACGCCCACACCCATCCCCACGCCCGGACGCCCATCATCACGCCCACACGCCCATCATGGACACCCTCACCAACGCCGCCCTCTGCGTTCTGTTCCTCCTGGCACTCACCCGACCTG